CGCTAATCGCGCGCAATTGTTTCTTACTTGGCTGCCTCAACGAGCCCGGCAGAGACGTCAACGTTCAAATTGACACGGCCGCCCTTTGAAGTGCAATTCGATTATTCGCGATTAAAGGGGAGTCTGCATCAATTCAGCGCCTCCCTTGTCTTCGCGGCTCGAAAGGGCCGGGAAAGGGGAGTGCATGCTTTTCAGCGTCATCTTTCTCTCTCTCTCTCTCTCTCTACCTATGCGTCTGCTTTTAGTACTCCGCGAGGACGAATTTACGTCGAAATTAGTCGGCGACCTGGCAAAAAGCGCGGCCCAATCGGCGCGTAATTCCCGAGGCGACGCGGCCGACATGACAAAGGTACGTCACGCCGAAGAAGCAAGTCGAATTAAGCTCGCTCATTAGACACCGCTCTTGATTGGACTCGCCAGCTTGCGCAGGCCGAATCGAGTCGGCAAGCGTCACGATGCCGACGTCGCGACGCGAGAGAGAGAGAGAGAGAGAGAGAGAGAGAGAGAGAGAGAGAGAGAGAGAGAGAGATTCGATGCATTCCGCACAAGGTCATTCTTACACATATGTGCATCGCGATTATTACTTCTTCAGTCTCATGAGAGGCAGAAATGCTAGACAAAATGGAAGACAAACTTCATGAGACGCGTAACGCAATAAACGGTAACGAGACGTTTAAGAATGTAATCTCTCTTCTCATTTTCGCTCCCAAAAACATCGTTTATCTTTTTCTCTCATCGTCAGGTGGATGACGTACGTCCCTCGATATTCTTTCGAACGAACGGTCGCGAGCACTCGCGAGCCTCGGCGACAACTCGGCCCCCGATCGATCCGTAAAACTGTCGATAGCGCCCCGATAAGTTTCGCGCGATTAGAGAGAGCCGGCAAAGTTGGCGAGCGATATACGCCGCCGCCGTATACGTTTTATATCACTCTCCGAGGTAATAGCGTGCGGATTAATAACGTTATCGGGGGCGTGTACGTCTACGTGGCTGCCTCGGCCACGTACGTGCCGTAATGGACCTTCGATAGCGAAGGGGCTTCGCGGAGGCGGACCTTTAACCGGTTAAATACGGCCGGGGGATCAGCGCGGTTATAAGACGTGCGAGCCGAAGTGGCCGATTCCTCCAGGAGCCGCTCTCCGGTGTAACGCAATTTACCGCGCGATCCTGCGATATGTATCTGCAAATTTATGAGTCGGCCGGAGCGGCCGATTTCCGCGCTCGTGCAAATCGCCCCGCGACCCGCGGCTGTTTAATCAGACGACGCCCCCCTCCCTCCCTCCCTCCGTCCCTCTCGGTCTATACTGCGCACGCGGTAGATTTGTCGTCCGCCGCGATTTGGCCGAGCGCGCACCGAGAGGAATGATCAAATAAAGCCGTTCCCGCGACCCGGAAAGACAAACTCTCTCCGCCGGCTCGGCAAATAGAGACGTCGACGAGAGACTCACGGCGCGGCGCGTAAGATCAACGAAGGCGGCGGCCTCCTTGACGAAACTGCTCTCTGAAACTCGCCGTCCACTTGCGCGTCTCTCATCGCTCGCCATACGTCGCTCCCCGAGAGGCTCCTCCGGGACGGAGCCGAGCCGAGAGGAAACTCGAGCGGCGGGGATCGCATTGTCGTTGCGCATTAATGACTGTCCGTCGCTGCTTCTTATCTGCGACACGAAGTGTCGCGATAGGGCCGAGCTGCGCCTCTCGGCGCCGTTTTGATTGAGATTCAGGCGAGCGATTCCGCCATTCTCGTGAAGCCGAGCGCGCACTTCCCCGACGTCTCTCTCTCTCTCTCTCTCTCTCTCTCTCTCTCTCTCTCTCCCCCCCTCCTCTCTCTCTCTCTCTCTTTCACGAGGACTCTTCGCTCAAACATCTTGTCTCAGCAGCTCCGGCGCGGGGCATTTACTCAGGGCTCTACCCAAGTAGAAAAATTAATAGGACTCTGCTAAGGGCCTGATTATTTTTCCCTAACGTTAATCGGGCTCTAATATGGATAGAAAGACAAGGGTCCTATAAAATGTGTAACAAATGGTTTACAAGGCAATATTATGAGGGACTTATAAGGAAATATTTTTATTATTGCTTGAATAAAAATATTCGTTTTTTTTCATCCCGAAAAATTTAGACTATAATTTCTTTATAACCTTGTTAGTTATGCAACAAGAATTTTTTATTTTAAAAATACAGCATACTTTACGATAAAATATAGCATTCTTTACACATGAAAATCCTGCTACTATTTTCATTAAACTTCGCTGCGTTTCAAAGCAAAGGCAGTACTAGAAAAATTCTTGAAAGAGAATAATGAATATGGCAACTAATAAAATTTGTTTTTCATTGTATAATAGTAGTATAATTAAAAAATCTTTAAAAGAACCAGATAGAACGTACCTACTAAAGCAATAGTAAATGACAATTTTATGACAATTTTACTACATGCTTTAAATCTTATTAATTTCCTATAACAAGACTTGATTTTGTACATCTAAAGCATCCTTAAAAGATCCTTCTAAGGCCCACATGAGTTTTTCAAGTTAAAGCGTTATTTCGTAAAATCTAAGGCACCCCTAAAAAATCCTTCCAAGGCTCTTCTCAGCTTTTCCCATCAAAGCCTTATTTTATAAAATCTAAGATATCTCTAGAAGATCCATCTCAGTGCCTGATGTGGTAATAATAAGGCATCCCTTTTTAGAGCATCCTACTTTTAACCTTATCGGGGGACCTTACTTCATAAGAATTGTCCTAACAATTTTTTGCTCGGGTTATCTTGGGGCTGTCGGTCCGCGACGATGCTGAGGGAAAGTTAACGACGCGAACCCGCAGCAAATGTTTTTAAGTGTAACGCGCAATTCCGCCGCTGTCGCGAAAGGATTAACCTTTAAAGGCCGCCACGGCTGAAGTTTCGCCCTGTGCGAGCTTATTTCGCTTTTATTGAACGTCAAATTGTCCGCTGCAAACATTCAGTTGCATTTATTTGACCTTTTTTCTAAAACAAAAACCGGTGTGAAGTTTCAGCGCTAACGCGATTTTCTTCGTTGGTGGCTTTCAAGAGTTAATCAAAGCCAGAAAATATCGGAAATTGCGCGCGTACGCTGCTCAAAAATTGGCTGGCCGACGATCTTGTAAGCTCTTTTTCACGAGAAAAATGTTTGCTTTGGATCGGTGAAGTATAAACGAATTTTATCTAAATTATCAAGATTTCCGGCGAGCTCGAATAGAGTCTCCCGACGTTTCCAATCCCGGAATTTCTCGATCGTTCATACTCCGCGGGAAAATTCCGTCCCCTCTCTCCCGCCGCTTTGCTCGCTGGGATTAAAAACGCGACGCGTGCAACTTCGACTTCAATCATCTCAGCCCTGCCGCGGTCAAGCATTTTCCAAATGGCACGCACGCGTACACGCGTTTCCATCGATAAAGCGTGAAGAACCTGAGAGATTGCCAAGGCAGCGGGTTTACGGACCGAATACCGAGTCTCTCTCTCTTTCTCTCTCTCTCTCTCTCTCTCTCTCTCTCTCTCTCTCTCTCTCTCTCTCTCTCTCTCTCTCTCTCTCTCTCTCTGTATCTCTCGCTCTGCTGATCGAAAAACGCTATCTCGAACAGAAACGGACCCGGTGAAGCGAGCGCGCTCTTCGCACATATCTTCGAGGGCTCCCGGTTGAATCGTAACGCGAGGCTCTTACGAGAGCGAATGAGAAAACCAAACCGGGCTGCGAGGCGTACGAGAGCCACTCTAATCCTTTTACATCCGGCGTCGTGCTGATAACGGAGAGATCCGTGTCGATATTGCGAGAGGAAAGAGCGCAACGCTTCGTATCGAGTCAGCGCCGCGCGCGCGAGAAAGAGAGAAACAGAGAGAGAGAGAGAGAGAGAGAAAGAGGAAGAGGGAGGGGGAGGGGGGGGAGAAAGAGAGAGTTATTGTTACACGGCGCCTTTGCCGTCGCGTTATCGCGGCCGACTCCCCTCGTCGCGTCGGACGGTTGCAATTAGCGCGATGAGCGCCAACGCGTATTGCAGTTTCAAGGCTGACGGCAGCCACGACTTCCCGTTGCCACCGCAAACGTGCGACGACGAGTGCATGCACGACGACCGGGCTTAAGGTCGCCGAGGTGTCGCCGGCCTCGGGGCCTCCATCGCGTTTCTTCTTCTACGGCGTTAACCCTCCCGCCCCCTCGGCCTGGTCGAGGCTGAAAGCGCACGCGGCACGTTTAATCGGCCGACCCGGAAAACGCGGCCGAGCGAGCTCTCGCTCGCTCTTAATGCGCAAAATTCACCATCTTATCTGTATTATGCAGCGAGCACTTGTTCCCACCCCCGGCCCTCTCTCTCTCTCTCTCTCTCTCTCTTTCTCCGTGCACGTCATCGTAGGTAGAACGTGCTCGGAGCGCGCGAGTGTCTCATCGAAGTCTCGGAGAAGCCGAAAAATGGGGGATGATTTGATAAATGACGCGGCCCCCGCTCGTGCGGCGATGCGGATCACCGAGATCTCTCGGCGCCGTATATCCCGCGGATCGAAGCACTCGGTCGCGTTAATCTCCCCGAGCCCGACGGATTAATCAACCCTGCGGAATGGACCATCGATGTCTCCGGGGAGCGGCGGAGTCGAGGCTGGGATCGAGGCTTTCGTTCGGGATCGATCTCGCCGATCGATCGAGCGGCCGATCTTTCGGCCGTCAGGCGTTACCGCAGCTCCTGGAGACTGAGGGAGCGAAAGTCACCCCCGTGACGAGACGCCGAGAAAGCCCTCGGGAAGTCATCATGTCGCGTGACTTTCCGCGAACGTTGACCCTTTGTCTTCCACTCGGCTTCTCAAAGCGTCTTAATCGGCGCGTTAATTGCTCGCCCGTTCTCCCCGAGCCGAGAGGGACCCGGCAATTCGCAGGGTGAAAGCCGGCCTCCGAGGAGCCACCCCTCGAGAGAATCGCGCCGCTACGGCCGCGTCGCGCTCGGACCCTCCGCATAGCTCGCGACTCGGCGGCGCGCGCGTGCAAATCGGCCGGCCGAGGAAATACCTCGAGGATCACGTTGCCAGGCAGCTCCTCCGCGAGAACGTTAACCCTTGATCTTCCACCTGCTCTTAAATCCCGACGCGTTAATCGGCTGCCGTCTCATCCCCGAGTGCCTCGTCCAGATTTCACTTCTGGGGGGAGGGGGACACGAAGAGCGGGCTGGGAGGGGCGGCAAATAGGGGGGGGGAGAAAGAGGAGGAGGAGAAGAAGGAGTCCCTCGCGCTCTTTTGGCGGGAACGAGCGAACGGCAGTCGCGGAGGGTGGGAGCGTTCCGAGAGGAACCGAGAGAGCTACCCTCTTTCCGCGGCCCGGCACGCACGTTCTCTCCCGTTCTCCCGGCTCGCGAGACGAGAGAGCACTGCGTGCTCCTCTGAAAGCAACCCCCGATTCGAAGCCCCGACCCTCCCCCGCTACCCTTGCTCCTGGACCGCCGTCCTCCCCGCCCTCTCTCAGCCGCTGTCCTCTCCCTCTCGGCGCTCTTCTCTCTCTCTCTCTCTCTCTCTCTCTCTCTCTCGCACTCTCGCGCCACTTTTCCCCACCCCGCTCGCCCCCTCCCTCCCTCTCTCGCTCCCTCTCTCTCTTTCTCTGCGTTTCGTCTCCATCATCTCGCATCTCTCCCCCTCTTCTCCGCCTCTCTTTCTCTCTCTCTCTCTCTCCCTCTCGCGGAATTCGATTCCGTCTCCGTCCGACTGTCTCTGTCCGCTCTCCTCCGCCTTGCCCTTCGCGCAGCGCCTCCTCCCGCTCTTGCTTCTCTTGCGCACCCCTTTCGACCCCCCCCCCCCCGTTGGCGTTCTTCTCCGCCGACGAGCTTCTTCTGCTCGACGATGACGCTCGTCCCCTCGACGTACACTCGATTTCGGGTAACTTTAGCTGTCCCTCAATGAGAACCGGAATTGGCCGGGCGCCAATTTTTGCGGGCGCGGCCAACCCCCGCGACCGGGGGTGAGTCGCCTTTAATGTCGTCCGTCTTCGCTCCAGCGAGAGCCGCCGTCGCGCTCGCACGAGTTACGGCGGTTGCCTCCACCCGCTGCTCCGTTGCTCGTGTTCCTCCGAGGATTCCTTCCTCCCTGCCTCCCTCCCCCCCCCTTCTGATCTCAGTGCGTGCTTCTTTCTATTTTGCGATCGTGCGCGCGTCCTTTGAGAGATTTTGGCCGACGCCGCTATTTTCTTCGCCTCGATCCCCCCCGCCGTGCAGGATAAATAATACAACACGGTCTTTCGGGGGTACGCGAGGGAGAATATAACGACAAATTGCCTTGAGAGAGGGAAAAAGAAGCCAGCTCGACCTCGCGATAAAGTTACGGTCGATTTTTATCGTGCCCTTCATTCCTCCTGGGCGATTTCTTCGGCGCAAACTGTTTGTTCTTGCGGTTCGCGCTGCCGTGTGGAATTATCTGTCGAGCGAGTGCGAAGCTTTTGTCGGGACTCTTAAAGGCGCCGCGGCCAATTCGAATCGTGTTACGATACGGCGTTACTGATTACTCGATGGAACGAGGATAAATTGTTCTCCACAAAATTACGCGCTCCGTCATTCCGCCCCGCTTCGCGAGTCCATCGGAACTTTTGCACTCGCCGTCCGATCTCTCCGGACATTCAGCGGCACGCGAGAGATGATTGAGAAACAGGACGTGCAGCGCATGCACGTGATACCGCCGACGACTCGCGTGGAAAATTAGTCCTTTCGCGCTGATTAATATTCAATTTCGACCGCAAAATTATTCCTCGCCTGATATATATATATATATATATATTTGCCGGCGCGTTCCAGTTTTTCACCGGTGAAAATTTGCTGGATTTATCGAAATTTATTTACATCGTAATACAAGGCTTTTACAGAAGGGAGAAAATTTTATTTATGTAGATAAAAAAAAAATATATATATATACATATATATAAATTCGCCGCAGAAGATTGTAATATTCCGCGGAAATCACCGGTGGAAAATTGCGAGCCGTTTCGCAGCCGCCGTTACATTTCCCCATGGTGCGCGTTTCCTCTTCTCATTAAATTCTTTTACCAACATCCTGGGGGGAGGGGAAGATCAGAAGTTTCGTAATTGAACAAAAGTCACGACGAATGCTAAAACACGATGACGCTCAAAGCCTTCCTTGGGCCGGCCAAGTGCGCCGCCATTAAAATCTCATTTCGACACAACAAGCACACAGTCGCAGCTCGCCAATTCCGAAATGCGGCGGCGGAGGTCCGTCGCGGCGCAATTCACGTCAACACAAAATCAACAGCGCGTTAATATCTCATTATTTTGATGATGTAACATTTAGCCGGAGCCGTAAACAAGATCGGACAAAGTGTAACGAGGGAGGCGCATTGTGCATTTGACTCGCCGAATTCACGTCACGCGCAGAGCGGATGCGCGTTGTTCTGCGAAACTTCCGCGTGGCGACTTGCGCGCGCGTGCCACATTTTTGCCACATAATATTCCGTGTACATGTTGCCTGCATTCGTGTGTGTGTGCGCGCGTGTTATACAGGGTGTATAAAAAGTTCGCCGGGGCGGCGAAATATCTCGAAAACTAGGTGTTTTAGGAAAAAATGTTTCAGACAAAAGTCATCGTTTTGTTAACTCGCTGATCTTTGAAAATTTCAAGGTCGTCAAATTAACAAAAATCGAAGTGCTATTGCAACAATATATTCTCGAGACCAAATAGAATAAGAAAGTCTGGTACCACTTTTTCTTCCGACAAACGGTTGGCGAGACATCGTCAGTCAAATATTGAAAAAGTTCTCTTCAAGTTTTCCTCACATATCTCACGAAATATCAGGCGAGTAAAAAAATCAGTTTCAGACAAAAGTCGCTCAAATTAATTGGCAGAAAAAGATGATGCGATGAGAAATTGGGGTTTCCGTTTGAGAAAAGTGAAAATATGATCAGTGAATATCTCGAAAGTGGCGCCATCTGCAAACAAAATGATACAGTCTGAAACATTTCTTTCGAAAATGCTTGGACTCCGCCCGGTGCCAATACTTTTTACACACCCGATATATGTACAAGTGTTGGTCGCTCACACCTGCACGTTCCGCTCGTATCGTTGCCGTGACGTCACCTGCAACGCTTCATAGGCAGACGCCAACGTTCCGGCAAATCCCAACTCGCGCAGACGATAAAACACATGCTGTGGCAATGATTGTCGGTATAAATTAATGCGTGTAAAATTAATAACGCGCGCGCGCGACTCGCGATGATGAAAGCGCGATAGTCGCCGGGCAGAGTTAATTATTTATTAGGCCGGAGTCGGCGAAAAAATTTGCGGCTTTGTCCGCGGCCGCGCGGTGATGTACGACCGCGACCTGTCGTGTCATCCGCGAGGAAATGAGACCGTTGATTGAGCCAATATCGAATTTTTGTCATTGAATTGTCTCGCCCGAATGTCAACTTTGCGCGCGCTCGTGCGGTATCGCTGCGACTTGCTTGCCTCTGCGACGCGACGACCACTCTCTCTCTCTCTCTCTCTCTCTCTCTCTCTCTCTCTCTCTCTCTCTCTCTCTCTCTCTCTCTCTCTCTCTCTCTCTCTCTCTCTGTCTCTGTCTCTGTCTCTGTCTCTGTCTCTGTCTCTGTCTCTGTCTCTGTCTCTGTCTCTGTCTCTGTCTCTGTCTCTGTCTCTGTCTCTGTCTCTGTCTCTGTCTCTGTCTCTGTCTCTGTCTCTGTCTCTGTCTCTGTCTCTGTCTCTGTCTCTGTCTCTGTCTCTGTCTCTGTCTCTGTCTCTGTCTCTGTCTCTGTCTCTGTCTCTGTCTCTGTCTCTGTCTCTCTCTCTCTCTCTCTCTCTCTCTCTCTCTCTCTCTCTCTCTCTCTCTCTCTCTCTCTCTCTCTCTCTCTCTCTCTCTCTCTCTCTCGCTTACCCTATGTAAATCTTGACAGACAACACGGAGAGTGCGAAAATTTATGAGAGCTACTTGGAGCGATTTTTCCGCATCGGCGGAAAGAAGCAAAAAGCCGTCATGTTGACTCAAAGTGCGGATACACAGCTCCGGGATGATTTGAGCGCGCAGTTCGTCGGCTTCCATCTTGTCGCGTACGATGGTGACATACAGTACACACGTTGGGCGAGACCGTTAGGGGCGGGAGGGGGGAAGAGCGTTGTTCAATTTTTGATTATTGGCCGCTATCGGCTGGATGTTTTTGCCGCAATGGCACACGCCACGGTCATATTTCGCAGCGGCTGACTTTCGCGACGCAAAAAATCCTCGACTCGACGTGGCCGAGTCCGAGTCTGCGTTTGGAACTGCAATTTCTCCGGCAAATCGCAACGCGCGCGTCAATTCTAATTTATCGCCGTAATATTGTCTTCTTTCGTGTAACACTCGCACCGCGCTCTCCGGAATAAATGGCAACGCCATGTGTGCGAAGATAATTAATCGATTGATTAATTAATGTCTCCCGATCCGCGTAAAATTCCGTCGAGTTCGGGGTGGGGGGGCACGTCGAGTCTTCATCTTGAATTGAAAATAAACAAATGATAAGAGAAATAAATATAGAATAAATACAGAAGAAATAAATATATATAGAAAAAATAAATATATTATACATATATATATAGAAAAAATATATATAGAATAAAAAAGTATAGAATAAAAAATGAAGTAAATCGGAGAAAAGCTTAGTCCGCAATTTCGCTGCAAACGTGCGAAATATTTGTTTTTCACATCACGAACGTTCGCGCTGAAACGCCAGTGAGACTTCATCTTACCCTTAGCGAGCCGACTCGAAAATCACCGAAGCGCAACACTGCGGCTATTCGACACCGCGCGAGGCGTGTCAATTCTCGCCCGGGGCGCCGCCGCCGAGAAGGAAGCGATAGCGCAAGTTTTCGGTTGGAAGTTCGGAGGAAGCGCTGAAGAAATGTTTTTAGTCCAAACACGAGTGCGCTCCCGCCGCATTAAATTTTCCGATGGCTCGCGGGCAACCCCCGTTTGGCCTGACTTCGCGCCCTGAGGACCGCACCCTGAGTGCTTTCCGGACCCGCGCTCGCCGCTTTGCGCGTTTCATCTCCGGCATTCTTCGCTTCACTTTCGGCCTATAACACGCCACGCTGAAAACGTAACCAGAGATTGTAAGCAACTGCGAGAAGCGATCAATCATTGAGCTGCCGGCCTCGAGCTGTTCTTCAAGCGGCGGCCAGCCGCCAAAGTGGACCTCCGCTGCCTGGGGCCTGCTCGCTCGAGGACGAGGAGCACTGAAAATGTCGTCGCGCTCTCGTCCCTCGGCGAGTTCTACGCTGTTCGTGAATTTGCTGGGAAGAGTGCGAAGAGTGCGAAAAGTGTGGGCGTTTTCAGCTTTTCATTAGCGCTCGAGTGCGTTCGAGTACACACGTGGCCGGGGCTCTTCATCTCTCGTCTCGCATTAGCCTGTCGACCGGCGATCAAAATGCTCGATTGATTGATCGACGGCATCAATGGCCGCGGAAATGGGTCAAACGCGCTGGGGTGACCGAGGGGAGGCGAAGGGGCGGGCGC